GCTTCCTCTCTGAAATGTCACAAATTCTTGGCCACGGCAGCTTCCCGTGGAAGTTAGCTCCTTCCTAGTTGAAGGATGCATTGTGCACAGCCCGTGTTTCCTCCTGCAGGGCTGTGCCAGGGGGGGTGACAGCAGCCCAGACCCACCGGGTCACTTATTAGAGGGCAGCTCCTGAAGACCAAAGCATGGCACGGCAGAAGGGAGCCCAGCCTTGGGTTGTGCCTGGCTTTTCAGACAGGCTTCTGGAAGATAAAAGGATGGCAATTCTTCATCTCCCGGACAGGTTGGCAGATGCACAGGAATGTGATGTTTTCCTTTGGGTCACCCGTATGGGGAAAGGTTTGGGGGTGTGTGTGTGTGAGCCCGTGTTTCCTCCTGCAGGGCTGTGCCAGGGGGGGTGACAGCAGCCCAGACCCACCGGGTCACTTATTAGAGGGCAGCTCCTGAAGACCAAAGCATGGCACGGCAGAAGGGAGCCCAGCCTTGGGTTGTGCCTGGCTTTTCAGACAGGCTTCTGGAAGATAAAAGGATGGCAATTCTTCATCTCCCGGACAGGTTGGCAGATGCACAGGAATGTGATGTTTTCCTTTGGGTCACCCGTATGGGGAAAGGTTTGTGTGTGTGTGTGGGTGTGTGTCTGTCTCAGAAAGGCTGTTGATTATTTTCCTGACTCCTTGTCAGCTCTACCACTGGACCACCAGGCTGGTATTTCAGATAAATGGGCAGCAAAACTTGAAATGAGCCAAGAAGAGTCTTGTGCTAAAGAGGCAAATTTTGCAGAGAACATTTTCCCTGGTATGACTGTCACAGAATCACAGAATCACATGGGGTTGGAAGGGACCTCTGGAGATCATCCAGTCCAACCCCCTGACAAAGCAGGTCCACGCAGAGCAGGTCCCACAGGAACATGTCCAGGTGGGTTTGAATGTCTCCAGAGAAGGAGACTCCACCACCTCCCTGGGCAGCCTCTTCCAGGGCTCTGCCACCCTCAAAGTGAAGAAGTTCCTCCTCATGTTTAGGTGGGACTTCTTGACAGTTTGGGCCCATTTCCTCTTGTCCTACCCCTGGGCACCACTGAAAAAAGACCGGCCCCATCCTCCTGACACCCACCCTTGAAGTATTTATAGGTGATGATCAGATTCCCCTCTCAGCCTTCTCTTCTCCAGACTAAAAAGACCCAAGTCCCTCAACCTCTCCTCGTAAGAGAGATGCTCCAGGCCCCTCATCATCTCTGTAGCCTCTGCTGTCCTCTCTCCAGCAGTTCCCTGTCCTTCTGGAACTGGGGAGCCCAGAACTGGACCCAGTGCTCCAGATGGGGCCTCCCCAGGGCAGAGCAGAGGGGCAGGATGACCTCCCTCCACCTGCTGCTCACACTCTTCTTGATGCCCCCCAGGATGCCATTGGCCTTCTTGGCCACAAAGGCCTATTGCTGGCTCCTGGGCATCCTGTTGTCCACCAGGATTCCCAGGTCTTTTTCCTCAGAGGTGCTCTCCAGCAGGTCACCCCCAACCTGTCCTGGTGCAGGGGGTTATTCCTCCCCAGGTGCAGCACCCTACACTTGCCTTTATTGAAGTTCCTCAGGTTCCTCTCTGCCCAACTCTCCAGCTGAATGACAGCACAGGTCTTTCAGGAGCTCTGGGCTTGAGGACACAGGGATGGAGGGGTGGCTGCACCTCAGCGATGGGAGAAGGATGTTCTGGCTGGGGAACCAGCACTGAACCCCTGCAACTGTGTCAGAACCCTCCCAGATACGCCTTCCTCCTCCACTCTAGAGGTTGGATAATGCTGAACCCCAGGGACGACTCTTGGAAATTTGCTCCTGCCCTCGTTTTGCACCAAATTCCCAGATGGGCCCTGTGGGAGCCTGGATTCCCCAGGGGAGCTGCTGGAGCACGCTGCAGTCTGTCGGGAACGGCTGCTTGCCATCTGCTGTAGAGATGGGCAGCCGAGAGCAGGGGACCGTGACAGGTTTCCGTGAGGTACCTTCAAGCACAGCATCCTCCAGTATAACTCTGTCCAGAGCTGCAGGATCAGGCCTCTTGCAGCAGCTAAGCTGAGGTGAGAACGTCCATGCCTTTGGTGCACACAACAGAGGAGAAACCTCTGCTGCATGGCCAAGGTTTGTCAGGCTGCCCGATGATAGGGTGAGCTTGGCTTGGTGGGGACTCTTGAAAACTGGTTGGGCAAAATGGAAAATGAGGGTGTGGGCAGTTGGGCACATCCTTGTACCCCCCCAACTCAATGCCTGTTCTTCACCCCACAGTGTGAACCCTTCTGTTGTGGCAAGAAACACAAGGAGATTTCAGGTGACACCAGCCCTTTGGGGAGAATAAGGTGAGTGAACCCTTCTGTTGTGGCAAGAAATGCAAGATTTCAGGTGACACCAGCCCTTTGGGGAGAATAAGGTGAGTGACATGAGTTTTGAGGTGAAGGTTGGGCCAGGGTGAGGAGCGATGCTGACTTGGGGAGGGGGATGCATGGGGTGGCAGGAGCTGCAGGTACAGGAGATCTTTCTTGAGGCATCCATGCTTTGGAGATAAGTGACTTTCGAGGCAGGAGAAAGGAGGAGGGGGAATGGGAAGGCCAGGACATGGATGACAGGCAAAGGGTAGTGTAGCTTCAAAAACCTGGGACAAAATAGAAGCCAAAAAAATCCCTCTAACAAAGACATTGTCTCGTTCAGCTCAGATCTCTTCTTACGTGAAGATACCCAAAGTAACGAGCACTATTTAACTTGGAAATCTGGGCCAAGGTCAGGAAAAAAGGGGGGACTTCACCTTGGGACTCTGGCTCTTCCAGCATGATCCCCTCGTGACCCACTTCGGCTTTGTGTGCAGGGGGAAATTTTTCTTCCCTTCCCTCTCCTGTTGTCAGATTCATTCCCAGCTAACCGACAAATCCATCTCTTCAGAGATCAATTACAGTGTCTGGCTGCGAAGCCTGGAAATCCAATTAACTCCCAAATATTTTCTTTTTTCTGCTTTAAAAAAAAAAAAAAAAAAAAAAAGGGGGGGGAGAGAGAAAGAGAGACAAAGAGAGAGAAACACATTGAAGCGGGGGCATAAATCACCTCGAAAACATTCCAAACATTAAAATAAACAAGGACGAATTTCAACTTCATTTGTCTCTTTTTGAGACTCTGTCACTGATGTATTTTACTGCTCCATCCCAGCCTCATTTTTGTCTTTGCTCCCGTTTGGAGTGGGTTGCTGTCTCTGGAGTGGAGCCTCAGGGCCGGACGCCTCCTGCAGCGAGGCCAGGATGCTCTGCCCGTGTAGGGCATCCTCACTTCTGCAGGACTGTGGTCCACTCACCTCAGCCTGGAAGGGGTTAAACCCTCTCCATCCAGTAGGGCATTTGGGGACTGATTAAAATAAATGCTCAGCTCTGCCTGGGTCTGAATGGGCTGGTGGTTTGGGTGAGGAGCGTGACCTGCCGGACTTCCTAGGAGGAAATAACTCTGCTTCTCAATCACAGTCTTCTGACTTTTTGCAGCCACCCAGAACTGGCTGTTGGAATTGAGCCTCTCCATCTCAACCTCGTGTCCTTGATCTTTTAGGGGACGTGCTCCATTTGACCAACTCTACCACGTCCTCAGGCCTCCCAGCGGCTTAAAGGAGACTCTTCTCCACAAAGTGGGTGAAATGGTGCTCCTTTTGAAGTGCCTGAAGATGAGCAGGGCCCAGGTGTGTGTCAGGCTGATGGTCTCACAGGGATATTAAGAGAAGGAACGGGAAATATTGTAAGAAGTTGAAGGGAAAGAAATAAGGACTGATGCATTTGTGGTGCTTCTGGCTTTGGGAAATGGCCAACCAAATGTCTAGCAAGTCACCAGTGACACGACTGCTTATCAAAAAAAAGGGGGGTTGAATAGTACTGGAGTCAGAAGAAACCTGAATAAGAGGTTTTTCTCTCTCTCAAATGCCCGCTATTTGGCTGAAGACATTTGAGGGTAGGAAAGCAGGCACCAAAGGGTGGTGGTAGGTACCATCTCTGCAGAGATGACATGGCATTCTTGAGGCAGGCACCAAAGGGTGGTGGTAGGTACCAGTGATGGGTACTGAGCATCTATACAGTGGCTGCAGAGATTCTTGGGGGGTTGGTGCCCATCTGGAGTGGCAGCAAGGTGAGGGGGGGGAATACCCTGGGACATCCCAAACAGGGAGGTGCCAGCCCTGGTTTCTGGGGCTGGGGAACCTCTGTCTCGCTCAGGCAACAGGGATTTGAAGCTGAAGCAGCTGTGCTGCTCTCTGTAGTCCCTGTCCGCCTCCTTCAAGAAGCTTTAGTTTTCATTCCAGAGGAGGATGAACAATCCTTGGGGGTTGCTGTGAAGAGGAATTGTCACCCTTCCTTCAGCTCTATCAGAAACTCTTCAAGAGGCAGTTAACAAATAACCTTCCCTTGGGATAAATTAGCTCCCAGTCCCAATTCAATAGCTGCTCATTTTAAGATGTCCTTGTTACCTCGTGTGAGTGGCTGATCTTCCTTTGAATCCTGCTGTGTTTTCAGACCCCGTGATTGCTGCAAGCAATCATGAGTTCCACATTAGCAGCTCATGCACTGATTGCACCGAGCAGTCCCAACACAACCTTTTGTGAAAAGTTTTGGAAAGTTGAGCTCCGCGCTAACACTGTCAGAAAGCTCCACAGATCTCGCTCCATCACGTATTCTGGTGACTGAATCTTCAAGTGAGGATCACTTTGCAGGGGCTGGTGTGCAGAGGAGATCTGTGCTTCAGAGTCTGGCTTTAGAAAGAAAATCTTGTAGGCATCTTCAAGGAAGCTTGGTGATGGCACAGAGTTGTCCAGCAGCCTCCAGGCAGCCTGGAGCAAAGGCTCTGAGAAGTGCAAATAGTAATCGTGATGGCACAGAGTTGTCCAGCAGCCTCCAAGGCAGCCTGGAGCAAAGGCTCTGAGATGTGCAAATAGTAATCCAAATTGATTTATTTAATTTGTTTTTTGTTTTTTTTTCTCCAGCCCAACATTGTTGCAGAGTAGGAGAATGGCATCGGGATAGCTAAAATAAAACTGCATCAGCAAGAAAACCTCCTGCCATTTCATCTTGCTCACACCTTCCAGGGAGACAGCATTTCCTGACTTCGTTGAGGGTAATTTTTCCTGTACCAGAAGCATTGCCTCTGTTTGCAAAAGAGTAAGTCATCCTTATTAACAAGCCTTTCCAAGAACAACAAACTGAAACGTGCAGTCTTGCACGGGTGCTCCAATATGTATCTTTGGCTTTCAGGACAGTTGTGAGCTTTTTATTTCCTCTCACACCAACGGCAGCTGTATTGTAAGGTATTTCGCATCAATTAAACATCTCTTTAATCAAATACCAGCAGGGGAAGCGTTCAAAATATTTGAAGAATGACTCCTAAAAGCTGCCACTTGACAGTGAGTGAATTCATCCAGAGACTGGCCTGCCAGACTGGCATGTAATATGAAATCTTCTTGCACCTTTAATTCCAAAGCTGCCAACAAACTGCAGTGATGGGTATCAGGAGAAATCTGTGTCTGGTAGGACAGAGCAGGCTTGTGGTCAGTTCTTCTGCGGGAAGTAATGCCCCAAGAAACCTTTGTTGTAGATAAAACCCATTACTCAATTTATCAATCCCTAGTTACACGTCAAATTCCTATATCCCAAATCCATGGGATAGATTAGGTACTTTAATTGGAAATGTGAAAGTAGGCTGGAAATCATTACCGTGCAAATTGTATAGAGTTGGGGTGGTTTTTTTTCTGTTCCATGGCTGAACTGGACTTCAAAAGAATAAACAAAATCCATTCTGGTAGCTCCCAGTGAGGAGTATACTTCTTTGGAGAAAGGAAAAACAAACAAACAAACAACAAACCAACAAAAACCCTACCAATATTTTATTCAAGCCAGAGTGAAGCATTTTGATTTGGGGGAATTCAGCTAATTTTCTTACTCCTCAAAATAGGTCAACTTTGAAATAGAAAATGTCACGCTGAAACAGAAAGTTGAATAGAAATGTTTAGAAAATGTAAGAGTATATATATACATATATTTGGAGGTTGAAGAAGCTTGTGAATGGAAAGCAAGCATCCAGGCTATTTATAATTCAATTAAGCTTAGATTTAGGACTAGTTTTCACTCTCCATAAACTGCATTTCTTTTTCATTTAGAACAATCTCCTTCCTCCATCAAAGCCCCTTCTCCCAGCTATAGCTGGAAATATATAGCTATAATATAGTTGGAATGACTATAGCTCTACTGTGTCAGCTAACTGCTGTATTTTTCTCTCCCAGGGCTCTCCAGGCATCCAGGTTGTTCACTTGGGATTGTTTCCTTGGCATTTGGGACCCAGGTATGGAAACGTGGGGCATGTGCTGCTGGAATTGTTGTCAAGGAAATTTAATCATAGAATCACAGAATGGTTAGAGTTGGAAGGGACCTTAAAGATCATCCAGTTCCAACCCCCCTGCCCTGGGCAGGGACACCTCCCACCAGACCAGGTTGCTCCAAGCCCCCTCCAACCTGGCCTTGAACCCCTCCAGGGATGGGGCAGCCACAGCTTCTCTGGGCAACCTGGGCCAGGCTCTCACCACCCTCACAGCAAAGAATTTCTTCCCAAGATCTCATCTAAATCTCGCCTCTTTCAGTTTGAAGTCGTTACTCATCCTATCGCTATGTGCCCCTGTAAAAAGTCCCTCTCCGGCTTTCTTGTAGGTCCCCTTCAGATGCTGAAAGGCATAAGGTCTCCCCAGAGCCTTCTCTTCTCCAGGCTGAACCCCCCAACTCTCTCAGCCCCCCTCCCAGCAGAGGGGCTCCAGCCCTTGGAGCATCTTTGTGGCCCCAGACCAGGTTGCTCCAAGCCCCCTCCAACCTGGCCTTGAACCCCTCCAGGGATGGGGCAGCCCCAGCTTCTCTGGGCAACCTGGGCCAGGCTCTCACCACCCTCACAGCAAAGAATTTCTTCCCACGATCTCATCTAAATCTCCCCTCTTCTAGTTTAAAACCATTACCCCTTGGCCTATCACTACGTGCCCTTGTAAAAAGTCTCTCTCCAGCTTTCTTGTAGGTCCCCTTCAGATGCTGAAAGGCATAAGGTCTCCCCAGAGCCTTCTCTTCTCCAGGCTGAACCCCCCAACTCTCTCAGCCCCCCTCCCAGCAGAGGGGCTCCAGCCCTCCCAGCATCTCCGGGGCCTCCTCTGGCCCCGCTCCAACAGCTCCATGTCCTTCTGCTGGTGGTGGCCCCAGAGCTGGAGGCAGCACTGGGTTGGTGGTGTCTCCCCAGAGCGGAGCAGAGGGGCAGAATTCCCCCCCCTGGCCCTGCTGGCCACTGTGTCACCTCAACCACTTCGGTTCAATAGCCCTCTCCTGCAGAACTTCTCAAGGCTTTGTCTCTTTCCCCCCATTCCCCTGCAAATGTCCTATACCATTTTTTTCCTTTCTTAAACAAAGAAAAAAAAATTTTAAATATTCTTCTCTCCTTTCTTTTTCTTTTTTTTTTATTTGGTAGATTTTCGCTGTTCTTGCACCATCTCTCTTCACGCCACTGGTTATGTATGTGTAAGTAGGAAGTTAGTTTTTATTCTCACTCTGAGGGGTTGGTTTCCAAACTGTTTATTGAGTAATAAAAAAAGAAAATTACAAGCCATTGCCCAGGGATAATGTGCTAATAATTTTATGACTGGACAAACGGTTGGAACAGCCCACAAAGGGTGGTGAGCAGGAAACCTGGTATCTATTGCCAGCGGAGCCACCCCCAAGGAGATAAAACCTCACTGCTAGTAATGAAAGTTGATGCAACAACTGTGAGGTATTAAAAATTACTTTGGGGATGGGTGGTGGGATGATCGTTATTACTTTCAGAGTAAAAATGGCAGCTAATTTTTTTGAAGGTGTTTAGAAGTTAGCCCTACATGGAGTCTATGTGATGGACCACCATGTCTGCTGGTACTCAGGTCCACACAGCTCACGGCTGCTGGGCGAGAGGGGGAGGATTCCTGGAAAAACAAAGATTAAGGGGTGTTAATGCTTTCAAGCAAAGATGAATCATCCCAGAGATAACAAAGGGTTTAACTTTCCTTAGAGATTGTCTAATTGTGTGGCACTTGAGTCCAGTGAGCAGTATCCAGTTTGGGTGCTGCAGAGCGTGGAGACAGAATATGCCCCATCCCTCTCACCCCAAAGCCCGTGGGTTTAAATACTTCTGGTTTTAAGCCCATATCTGTAGCTGGTTTAGTTCCCATCCAGTGAACCATCCAGCTCCTTTGACACCCCTGATGAGGCCCTGGCCTCTGTGGTGCTGTGGGTACAAGAGGAGCTATGAGCTAATTGTAAAGTGTGCCTCTGACCACCCAACATGGTCAACTGGTGCCAATTGAACACTTCAACTCAGTAGCCAAAGAGTCACAAGTAAACAGCACTGCTCCGCTTGCTTGTCTTAAACCATTCTGAGATGTGCCCTGTTCACCATCTCCAGGAGGATCTCCTAACCTTTCTTGGGGGCAGAGCATCATATTTCCACTATCTTCTTTCACTGATGTGAAGTTCAATGGAGGATTGGATAACCTTTCTTGGGGGCAGAGCATCATATTTACACTATCTTGAGGAGGATAGTTCATCCTAAACTTGAGGAGGAACTTCTTTCCTGTGAGGGTGGCAGAGCCCTGGCAGAGGCTGCCCAGGGAGGTGGTGGAGTCTCCTTCTCTGGAGACATTCAAACCCGCCTGGACACGTTCCTGTGGGACCTGCTCTGGGTGGCCCTGCTCTGGCAGGGGGTTGGACTAGAAGATCTCCAGAGGTCTCTTCCAACCCCCTATCATTCTATGATTCTGTGATTGGGCGAGAGCAGGGGTTGGACTGGATGATCTCCAGAGGCCCCTTCCAACCCCATATCATTCTGTGATTCTGTGATTGCGCGAGGAGGGCCCTTGAGAGGTCTCACTCTCTACTCATCTCCCATGAGGCGGGATGAGCTGTACCTCTTCCAAACCAGCAGCAGATCCAGTCCTCGACGTGGGCAGGAAGCCATGCAACTGGGAGTAGCTGTTTGCAGCTGCCAAGACCTCACATTTGTATGTTAGCGATGCAGATAGAATCTCATAAACCAGTCTCCATCCTGCTTTACTGCTGATTTAATGATCGGAGGAAGAACTTGACTGTTTATTAAAACATTAGACAGTAAACTTTAACAATAGACAGTAAAGGCTTTTGTTTTTCCATCCTTCTGATTGTTAAAGCAACACCGCGTTGGGCGGGAGAGGGACCTGCTCCCAACCTCCAAATCCAGAGCGATGGTGGTTGTGATGTGACTGGGCAGGGCTCCATCCATCAGGCAGGATGAAGAAGTTGGCATTGCCTCTTCCGTGTCTGGGAGCTCCAATATCTAAAGGGCAGGGCCTCACCCCTAATTGGGCTGTCTCAGGAGGCTGGCTGGCTAGTGGCAGAGGGGCAGCTGCCTCTGAAGCCCTCTGTTGTTGCTAATCAGTGGCATTAACTCTGCGAAGCTTGCCAAAGGCATTTGCTTCATCACCCCTTCTCTTTCCTCCCTGGCAGAAGGCATCTCTGCTGAGAGGCCCTGGTGGTAGCCAAGTTCTCTAGCATGTTTGCATGGGTCTGGAGGATGGACAATCTCTGCCAGCTCTTCTGTCCCCATAGCAGCCCAAGCTGGTTCAGGCCCAGAGCCCATGTGACAGCTGGATGTAAAAATTTGTTCAGGCATCCGTCCATCGGTTGACACCTAGTTCTGAACAGTGAAAGCAGCTCCTTAGAGTGTGTTGTGTGGGTTTTTTTTTCTCAATTTCTATGAGCCATGAGGTTCTGTCCTAACATCACCTCTTCAGCCTGGTTCCTGTGCTGAGCTGGTTGGTCTGGCTTCTCCTAGGGTCAGTGGAGAAAGACAGGACTTCATTGGATCACTCATCATGTCTAAGGAGAGCTCAGTCAGCCTCCAGAGGGGTTGACCTCTCTCCAGAGATTATGGTGGGACTCTAGGTGAATTTCTTCGGGCATCTAACATGTAGACAGGCTAATGTTTGCAAAAGCAAATCTTGCTTTAGGCCCTAAACTGCTTCTGTAAATGTGTTCCTCAGCATCCACCTCCTTGGGCTCCCTTGGAGAATCCTGACTACAAGCACAGCAGTCCTGGTGAGGTGTGGTGGGCTTCCTGCACCTTACTAAGTTCTCTGAGTCCTTGGCAAGCCCAAAGCAAGTTACCTTCTAGCTCAAGTCTCAGTCCTGATAAAGGTTCCCATCCAGTGGGTGTCTGGTGGATCACACAGGAGGGCCAGTGGTTCAGGAGAAGCTTCTGCCCTCCTCTTGTCCTCCAGTGGCATCTGAAATCCAAGTGCTGCTGAAGGGCAGCCTGGTGGGTGAGGAGCTGGTTCATTGGGGAGCTTTATCCGATGGACCAGACCTCGAATAGGAGAGCAGAGTAAGATGTGCCTTTGCTAGGCTTGAAGGGCGACAGAAAGCAAGTGTGCATGTGCACCAAGATGAAAATGAGAGGGTTGATTATAGAATCATAGAATGATTTGGGTTGGAAGGTACCTTAAAGATCATCTAGTTCCAATCTCCCTGCCATGGGCAGGGACACCTCCCAACAGACCAGGTTGCTGAAACCACCATTCAGCCTGGTCTTTGCCCATGGTCCGGATGTAAAGCAATATTTGCACAAGCTCAGTACATTTCGGGTGCTGAGCTGCTTTTCCAAGTCCTCCAAAAAGGCTTTCAAAAATATAGTTGTCATGTGATAGGAGCGGAGGTGCTGTTGTGTACCAACAGCCTTCTCCAGAGGTGTCTGAGAAACAGTAATCCCTTCGCCCTGTGGGTAGGGATTGCACGTGAAGTCCTCTGAGGATCTGTGGTAGGGCTTGTGCTGTCCTGTCCACAAAAAATCTGCAAAGGGGAGCAGACAGAAACCAAAATATGCAAGGAAGCAGCATTATTCAGGACAGAATGAGTCACAGAATGATACAGGGTTGGAAGGGACCTCTGGAGATCATTTAGTCCGACCCCCTGCCAGAGTAGGGCCACCCAGAGCAGGTCCCACAGGAACGTGTCCAGGAACACAGAGCAGGTCCCACAGGAACGTGTTTGAATGTCTCCAGAGAAGGAGACTCCACCACCTCCCTGGGAAGCCTCTTCCAGGGCTCTGCCACCCTCACAGGAAAGAAGTTCCTCCTCATGCTTAGGTGGACCTTCCTATGATCAAGTTTGTGCCCATTTCCTCTTGTCCTGTCCCTTGGCACCACTGAAAAAAGACTGGCCCCATCCTCCTGACACCCACCCTTGAAGTATTTATAGGGGATGAGCAGATCCCCCCTCAGCCTTCTCTTCTCCAGACAAACAAGACCGAAGTCCCTCAACCTTTCCTCAGCAGAGAGATGCTCCAGGCCCCTCATCATCTTTGTAGCCTTCTTGCTGTCCCCTCTCCAGCAGTTCCCTCTCCTTCTGGAACTGGGGAGCCCAGAACTGGTCCCAGTGCTCCAGCTGGGGCCTCCCCAGGGCAGAGCGGAGGGGCAGGATGACCTCCCTCCACCTGCTGCTCACCCTCTTCCTGATGCCCCCCAGGATGCCATTTGGCTTCTTGGCCACAAGGGCCCATTGCTGGCTCGTGGTCACCCTGTTGTCCACCAGGACTCCCGGACCTTTTTCCTCAGAGCTGCTCTCCAGCAGGTCAGCCCCACAGAAGCTGCCTGTGAAGAAGCGCAGAAGGGTGGCCACGTGCTGCTGACTACGTGATGACACGGCAGAGAAGATTTGATGTTGGGAACTGCACATGGAGAAAGATCAACAGTATCTACACCTATACAGCGGCGCCGTCTAAATGAGCTATTACCGCTCTGGAAGGAGACTGTAGAGGCATTGCAGGCCATTTCTGGAAATGTCAGCAGTGATTACAAAGGCAAGGGCAATGTGAGGAGTTACAGAGGAAGAAATGGAGGGTAAAACAGAGCCTGTCATTACTTGACTGGATACATCCACCCTCTCGGATGCTGTGTGTAGGTCTGGTGTCCGTGTCTCGGGGGGTCACACAGGAGGAAAGATGGGAAAGGAAACCTGTTGCAGCAGCAGGACCTCCAGCGACGAGGAGACCTTGATCTGAAGAGGACTGAAGGAGCAAATGAGAGGAAGAAAGACAGGGGTGGCTTGGAGGAGGTAGGTGTGGAGCTGGATGGACTCTGTTCTGGCCAGGGCTGAAGCTTAATAGAGACCCCAACCTTGGCTCTCTGTATGTGACGGTTGGGAATAATAACTGTGCCAGCACCCAAAAAACAGATCAGCGAGGGGACATCAGTAAGGAGTGGCACACCTGACCCTCTTGCCATTTGCCTGTAGGACAGCAAGCCCCATGGTGTCCCCTGTCCTGGGGAACAAGAAATGTCCTGGCCATTCCCTGTGAGCCCTTCCCGCTCAGGAGGGTTGCAAGCCAAGTGGCAGGAAAGTCCTATTTTTGCACCGTGCTGTCACCTGGGCTGCACCGGGTGACAAATTTCAGCCCTAAAAGACTTAAATGGACTCTCCCTGCTGGCTCAGCCCCAGAAAATCTCCACACATCCCAGGA